TAAGTTATTTTAAATTAAATATGTGAGAGACCATACATGTTTAAATCTCAAACATTTTCAATAACCCTAAAACCAAAATGAATTTAATTTAATACAAAAAAAACCACAACATCATATAAGAACTAATAACCTAAAACCAAAATAAATTCCATTAAATCCAAAAAAACTTAGGTAGTGTTTGGTACGCAGACTGGACTGGACGGGACAGGACGGGACGGGACAGGACTAATTGTCTGTCCCATGTTTGGTACAACTAGGACATGACAGGACAAAACTGTTAAAATGACCATATTACCCTTAAATGTAGTTCAATGTTATTTTGTATCATATAATGATTGTAAAATGACAACAAATCAACCAAAATATATTTTAATTACATAGTTTTTATAATCAAGTTTAATACATTAAATATAAATCCAAAAAAATTGACAAGTTCTTATAATCAAGTTTAATACATTAAATATAAATCTAAAAAAATTGACAAGTTCTTACAAAGTTTCATATTAGAAACAGAGGCTGATTAACATCTACCCACAGGTATATTAGAAAAAGAGTGTGATTAACAGTTTCATATCACATATATTCTACCCACAATCTACCAAAAGAAATCGATGCCAACAGAAATTGACCCAGAGGGGATTTTGTTAGGGTTTACCAAAAATCTACCAAAAGAAATCGATGCCAACAAAAGAGAAATCGATGCCAGCAAAAGAGAAATCGATACAGCAAAAGAGAAATCGATGCAAATGAAATCGATACAGCAAATGAAATCGATACAGCAAAAAAAAAATCGACGCAAATGAAATTCATACCGATATGGAAGAAGCCGGTGGAAGGAGGCGGTGGCGCCGGTGGAAGGAGACAGCGTGGAAGGAGGCGGGTGGAAGGAGACGGGTGGAAGGAGACGATGTGGTAGTGGAACTGGTGTGGGTGTGAAAGAGACGAGGGCAAAGGAGGGTTTAGGTTTTGTATTGGGTTTAAGGGTAAGGTAGTAAATTTGCATTTAGTCTCATGTTGTTCCACCTTTTTTGGTGGAACAAAAATTATCAACTTTTGTCCCATCAAATTTAAAAATAGTCCCACCTTGTCCCATGTAATTTTTGTCCATGGCATGCCAAACATGGGACTATTTTTTTTTTGTCCCGTCCCGTCCCATCCAGTCTGCATACCAAACGCACCCTTAAAGTCACATGTACCAAAAGATATTAAGTAATATAAAATCATATCGAGTAATATACAAAACTTAACGAGTAATTGCATTTTGACTTGACATCCAAAATATTACATATTAACATCCAAAAAATAACAATTTTAGATTATAAACCTAGTTAGGAAATAGAAAATTATGAACTACCGTTTTAGTTGAAACAAATAATATATATATATATGGTATATTTCTTTTACAACCTTGTGCATTTGTACAACCTTTGCAACCCAATTAATTGAGATATTTATAGAAATGATTGGAGTTCATTTATTATGATTTGAATATTTATGGAATATGAATAGAGTTTATTAATTA